AGTTTGTAAGCTTCTTCTTAGTCTTATTTGTCTCCTTGGTACCTCATTAACTATAGAAAAATAGTAATTTTATATGATAAATGTTTCCAACTATCTTACTAAGTTAATAAAATTCAATATAGGAATATCAGTCATGTATCAGGTAAACATACTTGCATTCTGTGCAATGGGAGACCGACTTCGATTTCGTTGACCTCGAGTTGGTGTTGGAAATTGTTATAAATGTTTGGTAGTAATAATTTTAATGATGTCTTATTGAAATATAAGGTTTACCAAAACGCTGCACTAATGTTATACCATAATTTTGAGAAGAATGGCTTCCAGAAGTGATTTTGTCCAATATCATCGTGCACTTCAAAAGTCGAGCTGACAGACTCTACAGCACAACTTTGGCTTCAACTTTTGAATGAACCTTAACCTTTTTCAAACTATAATTGTGTTTTTTTCAGAATATTTTGATGGAAATATTTAATTCACAAATTTCTTTACAGCAATTCTTTTATTTTGCGCTTTAAGTATTATTACATTTGTACAGTATGTAGCTTGTGTGTTGATTCAAAACAAATTTGTAAACAAAAATAAAATAACGGTATATGATTTTCATTACAATAAAAATTATTTGATGATTTTTGAGAAACATTCATCAATTATCACACATATAGTTACAAGTATTGTTACTTACACCAGATTAAGGATCGTTATTTTCTTGATTTAAAAATGTTTTAAACTGTTTTTGTTAGAATATTTGAGCAAGGGATGCCGAAGCATTAAGTATAAAAATTAAGGTGTGAATTAAATATACTAAAATGTCATCTGGTTAATGAGGCATTCGACAAGGTTGAATCCAGTTAATAGTGCCCGAAATCTATTTTAATAGCATTATGATATGATACTATTATAAGGAAAAATCGTTTTGTCAAAGCTACAAAGATATCGCTATCTAATTTTTGAACATCACATTATTAGACAAAATGTCATTTACTATAATTATGGGATTTCTTATAATACACTTTCAAAATCAAAATCGAAATTAAATTTTTTAAACTTCTCATATGCTTTAAACATCAACGTATTATAATTTCTCTAACTTACTGCAAGCTCTAAAAATAAAATAGTATATACAGCATTTCACCACTAGGTTTAATAATTCAGTATACAATTCACAAAAGTGGCCAATGCTTATAAAGTTCACATCTTATTTTTGTGACTAAACACTTTTTGTTCTATCCAATAATCCATAATGTACTCCACTGTATTTTGCATACTGTCATTAAAGTATATGAAAGGTAGTGAATTGTAATATGCATTTGCTGATTAAAAAAATTATTAAGAAATCAGTAGGTTTTTACTGTTTCCTCAGAATACTGTTCGATTATTAGTCAATTGTACGGAATCATTCGAACGGGTCAGTTTTTCATCGTTAAAGAAAAACCGTTTAATACGTACTGTTTTATATTACACTATTTTACGCAGCTCATTAACTTCTATCAAAATTAACATTAAACTTCATTATCATACAATACAATTCCAATTTGTATTAACCGTTTTTTACTTGACAAAGTTTGCAAAAGTAAGTGTAGTAATAAAAAAGAGTGTGTTTCTGTAATTAAATTACCCCTTTGGTTTTAGCTGATAACTTCTATGGCTACGATGTTTGCTAAATTAATGTCAAGAATAGGAACCATTAAAAACTTGAATATTTCATTAACAAAATTATTCTATTTATACAATCGAATTCTGGGAACCATAACTATAAACGTCAAAGAAATCCCAATAAAAAATACTTCTATCAATCACTGGTCATTTAGTTTTTCTTGTACTGGGATAGCTTACAGTATTTTTTTATTGATATACATAAACATATATAATTATATTTTAGTATCCGAAATATTAAGTTTTACAACTATGGATATATCATTGTTCATGAAAGCTTACTATAGAGTTTCACATATGTTCGAAATGGTGGCAGTCAATTTAATTCTAATTCAATTAATTATGAAACACAACGCAGCTATCACTGTTTTCACAAAATTAAATTCTGTAAAAAAGTTAGTACATGCATCCAAAAATTATGTAAAAGACAACAAATTAATAATACCAAACGCGAGACATGTTTGTGTTCCACTGATGCGGTATGTTTTTGAAGTATTGAGATTTACCAATATTGTAAGTTTTACATCTGATAATTGGAACTACATATTTTTTTCTTTATCACGAGGGATTAGTTGGATGATAATAGATGCTATTGTGTTACAATATATGTTTTTTTGCACTTTCATCGATGCATCATTTAAAATGATTTGTCTTCATCTAAATAACACTTTAGAAAAGTCTACTAGTATGACGACAATGGATTTATCGGATTATGCAAGTGAACGAGAAAAAATACTTACCGTAGTGAAATTACAAAAAAATATACGTTATTAGTTGAAGTATCCAATGAAATAGCCAACTTTTACTCTTCATTAATCTTCTTCTGCATCACAGATTATTTTTTGGTAGTTTTGAGTTTTACTCGCCATAGCATGAGGCCGTTGCTTTATAGGTTTCCTACAATAGAATATCTAGTACATTTATCAATATGCATCTCTTACATTCTTATCATGTTCTTGTTATTAACTGAGTCTGCGAGCTCGGTAATCGAACAGGTAATACAAAAATAAATAAAAATTGTTGTTTCATTGCTAATATTTCTTTCTCTTCTTTCTCTTCCTCTTTTGTTCAGACTAAAAATATTCACGACATATTAGTCAATTATTTGACGTACAATGGTAGTGTGAAATCTAAAACTATAACATATCAGGTAAATTTCCTAAAACACTATATTTTACCTACGAATAGCTAAAAAATTTATGTACGTTTATTTCAGCTATTACTATTTTCCTATCGCTGTAGAAGTTCAGAAATGAGATTCATGGCTCTAGACATTTTTCAGTTAAACGAATCGTTGATGGTCTCAGTAAGTGTTTTAAATGTTCTTAAATTACATTAAAAAGTTTAAAATACTATAAGTATGCAGAAAGACATGTAATATATTATGACGAGCAAAGTGTATGTGATTCTTTATTTTTAGATGATAAGTGTTATAATATCATATGTGGTAATAACGCTGCCACTTTCTTCAAATTTGTAGTTATGCTGTATGGAAAAAATATCATATGATTTCTAGCTACGTAATATTCATGTGTAAGCCTTTTTATTATAATCTTTTTTTTTATCTTATTTAAAATTACACACAATATAGTGTTGTATTATTTTTGCTATTTGCGAATTATAAGTTTTATACTCTCACATAATAAAGCACATAATTATCTGATTTATTTTGGTCTTTAATAAAAAAAAGATAAGCTGTTAAAAGTTGAGAAATAATTATTATTTTGTTATTCACACCTCTTCCACCTCGCACACATCTACTTTCGAACATTTGGGGTGAATACATTTTTTCTTTCCCTCTCACCCATTTTCACTCTCAATATATAATAATGAAATAATAAAACGCTACTCCTACTCTTCAAACAAACCTACTCTACTTTACTTTCTTGAGCCGTAATTGAGGCAGGAGAAATAATTTTTCCGCAAATATAATGAAGTGTACGAGAATATTCTATTTACTTTTTTTCGCTGAAATAAGTTTTGTAAAAGTATTTCTTAAAGTTTCTATTGACAAAACTCTGCCAAAGTGATATTCGAGGTGATATTATATAAAAGTGATATAACTTAGAGTCGGACACTATAGTTTTATACCTTGTTAAATACTTCAAAGTACAATTTTTTTCGAAAAGGCAATGCACTATTCTTGTTGAGAAATTTTATTTTCATAAATACTTGTAATACGGTACAAGTGTATCTGCTATAGTTATCATTTTAATAGCAGATACCGTAATAATATCAAGCGCCTTGTTAAAGATGTATGATATTTTTAATATTACTTATTCAAAAGTATTCAACGAAATGAAAGATTTCAAAAGTAATGACATCAACATATTGTACCGTAGGAAAAAGGGTAAGTAGACTACCTGAAATATCCAATATAAGAGATTAAATCTACGATAGAGCTTGTTATCATCAATAAAAAATATCCAAAATGAGGAAATGTAGCTAAACCGTTTCCGACATCAAAGGTGTTCGGATTGTATAATATTATAAATATCAGTCGGTAGATTAATTACACCTTAAGCATCAATTATCCAAGTCTCTCGCATTATGTTTTTTTTTTGTTTATTCATGATGACAATGACTTGTCTGATAAAAAGTACATCTCAAGGAAAATGAGACATATAAATAAGTTATCTTCAGAATTAAAAACAAAATATAGAGCTAGATAGATGTTAAAAGTCTTTACCTTGTTAAATACTAATGAGTATTTTCTTAGTGTAATTGATTGAGCTTAGTTAAATATTTAATACTTGACTACTACTGTTTGTTCGAATTCTATAAAAATTATAACTGCTGTTACATAATTAATTTTTCATCTTTCAATAAATTTGGACAAGTAACGTTCAAAGTCCTTTTATTTATATAGGCACTTTTTTAAGCCATCGCCTAATAACCGCAATACGTTACTTACTTATTTAGTATATTTTATTCTTTTTCGATAGAGTTTGTATGATTACATTTTAAATATTTGAATTTTTAAAATTTTTGAATTCCGTGGTCATCGTGACGTCAAAGTCATAGACTCCTCCCTCGGTTGGTGCAAACATGTAAAGATGCGCTTGCATGTACTTTTATACCCTGTCCTCTTGTATCCTGCATCGGACTTTGTTCAACGTAGAATATGTTATCTGATGTTCTATCAGTTATGCTTATTTTTGTGTATTTAAGAACCTTACCGTACAAAAATAACCCTTTTACAGAAGTAGAGCCTGAACTGCTTCTCCAACCGACCGCTAGATGGGTATGTGGCATATACTGTGACGATAAAGTATAGAAACCGGAGAGCCCGAAAGAGACATTGCAAAGACGAGTGCATAAGTAGTTGCGAATGTGCTAAAATTAGCATACTTACCTGACGCTGGGATATCTGTGATCATCATGGCAGACTCCCCGAGGTGAGACTCGATCATTGCACTGCGATCGAGTTGACCCTTGCGAATATCCCTAATGTGGATATCTCGGGCGTATTATTTTTGGTAGCTGGGACTGCGTACGCGCTATCCCGATCAAAGAAATCTAAAAATAAACAGTTCCTTAAATCAACAAGATACTTAGAGGACTCAGACTCTCTCTGATCACTGCCCCAAACCAAGAGGATTCAACACCTGCATATTCGACATAGATCTTATCGATGAATGATGTTAACGTAACGGGTAAACGGGTTACTCCCTCTCTCCGTGCACCACCTCCTCTCTTGCACTCTTCAAACTTCAAACTGTAATTTAATTATATTTTTGACAAAAGCTTGGCAAGGCTTTTTTTTTTTTTTTTCTAATTCAACTCATTCATAATATGCCTTAGCCCAGTATATAAGCCGGAAATCACTGTAAAATGTGGAAAACCTAGAAAACAGCATCGATTTTAAAAATGTTAGTTTCTACGTAGTCCTTAGACCTTCAGGAACATTCATCGGCACTGACCCCGGGCCCGCGTGCAGAATCAAGGGAGGGGGGGTGGTAGTCAAAACCCCCCCAAACCAGCCCAAATGTAAAAAAATTTATAAAAGCAATATTTTTCCTCAGAAATGCCTTCTAGTAGGTAATTTTGGTCGCTGATCATAAATCTGAGGTCCAAATTTTAAAATAGAGCACTTGACAGTGGGATTTGGGCCATTTTTGGCCAAAAAACTATTTTTTCGCTAAAATATGTCAAATCGATGTTTTTTTGCGAAAATGCCTTCTAGTGCCCTTCTGAAAAAAAAAGATGTAATTCCACGTGTAATTACTTGTGTAATAACTTTGGAAAAGCCATATGGCATTACATATGGCATTACACATGTAATTCCATAGAGGGTTTTGGTATGGAAAATGCCATTGGAAATTACATATGGCATTACATATGATATTACACATGGCATTACACATGGAATCACTGATGGTATTCCATTTTTATAATTTTTTTTTTTATATTTAATAGCTATACAACTCTTAAATGTTAATAACTGGATATTACTCACATGTACAATGATAAAACGGTCATTTAACATAAATGTATTTTATTTTAAAAAGATAATAGTACATAAGATTTATTTCTTATTCTGACATGAATTTCGTGGTTCACATAAGCACGTTCTTATTCAAAAGTATTACAATAAAGAAAATTTTTTTCGTATTATAGTAATCTAATTTATATCTATAATACTGATTGATGCCATGATGTGACCTTTTATTTTTTATTATAGTAATTTAATTTATGTCTATAATACTGATCGATACTATGATATGGCTTATTATTTTCATATTATAGTAATCTATATCATATCTATAATACTGATCGATACAGCTTATGATTAAGGGCTTTCACAATATTATAGGCGTTTTGCAGGCATATTATTGATAAATGCACATACATGTTTTAAAGAAAAATTAGGATAAGTAGCATAAGATAAATAAAATATATTATCGGAATACCATTTGACAAGACATCAAGAGTAAACTCTTTACGGAGGGGGTGGAACTACTTCCTCACACATCCTGTTCCTAAGCTCCTTAATTTTATGGCCGATGCTTGTATTTATTTTGCCAAGGACAATGTTTTGAGCACCTGGCATATATCTATCTGTAGCATAAGCTTTGTATAGTTCTGAAAAAAAATAGCGTAAAATAATAATTTTATTTTACAGTCAATAAAACATAATTAAATTGAATAAAATATTCACTTTTTAGATTTTTATATTTTGTGGGCGTTAATCTCTTTCTAGGGCTCCTGCCTTGTATGCGTATTTCAATTTTTTTCTTACTTATGCAACGATTGATAGGGGTAAGTGTACATATTTCCGTGGTCTGCCCTATTACCGTGCATTTACAAAAATGCTGTTTATTTTTTGAAAAAGTGTACTAGCGGTCGCAAAAAAAATATTTGATATTAATATCCAAGAACAGCTCAAATAAGCATAAAAATCTAATATTTATATGATTAATTTATAGAGAAAATCATATTTATGCACGGTATTAGGTACCAAGAGTATGTTAGACGGTCGTGTACGTATTACCGAGGTGAGGCCTGTGATTGAGACATCCACGGTAATATGTACACGGTAATAGGTACATGACCACGGTAATACCTGAATACTATTTTTGTTAATTTTAATAATAATCCATTAAACTTTTAGTCTCGAAAAAAATTTTTAAATAATCTTAAAGAAATTATGCAAGACTTAAGAAAAAAATCCATAGGATTTTGTCATTACTCAATATTTTATGGTGCATTTAATTTGGATTTCTTAACATACGCCACGAAAATAGGTACACTTACCCCTAAGTGTGTTTGCGTCCCAAAAAACAAGTAAAAATTCATTTAAAAAAGTATCACTTTGCTTTCGTTTCATATAATCGTAAAACTCTTTGTCAACAGCTTTTCCGCTACCTATGTACACCTATAATAAATGAAATAATAATAATTGTCGAAATTAATTATGACAAGATGTGTATAACTACATAACATTGCATCTTACCAGATTACCATATGTAGATCCAATTTCTTTGTCTTCGGGATCGACATCTACAATACCAGGTTCCGGTTTGTTGTTGATAAAAACTTCGGAATCGTCTGAATCTGGTTCTGGATTTGGAGCATCTTTCATTTTAAACACTCGAAAAGTTTGTAAGCTTCTTCTTAGTCTTATTTGTCTCCTTGGTACCTCATTAACTATAGAAAAATAGTAATTTTATATGATAAATGTTTCCAACTATCTTACTAAGTTAATAAAATTCAATATTGGAATATCAGTCATGTATCAGGTAAACATACTTGCATTCTGTGCAATGGGAGACCGACTTCGATTTCGTTGACCTCGAGTTGGTGTTGGAAATACTTCTCTAGGATTTTCTTGAACCTCAATATTAGCATTACGATGTTGGTTCACAGATTCTTCGTTTCGATTTGTCCAGAATTAACTTAATTGTAATCAAAACATTATTTTATTTAAAACAGATCATTTATATTATTATTAGTAATTTGAGAAAACATACCAGCAACTCGCAGACAAGAAGACATTCTTTCATCATTATGAACTTGA